ACACACACAGCTACACACACACAGAGGAAGGCTGCAGTGTGAATGAGGAAGTGCTGTGCGACCTTTGTGTTCTACTTGTTGTCACACCTGGAAGTGCAGAACAACAGACAGCAGCAGGTGTGATTCTGTTCAGAGCTCAGAGGTTCTGTGGAGGTCTGGTTCTGTTAGCTGCTGTTCTGTTCTGGTTCTGCATACAGCCATGGCTCCTCAGAGCTCCTCGGGTCTGTGAAGCCGGGCTTTGTGCTGGTGGTGTGAGCGCAGCAGCGTCTGGGGAGGATTCCGGCCGTCAGCTATTCTGGTTCCTGTCTTGCTTTCACTACTTTGTGAAAGGAGACGTAAAAAGGAAGGAAGAGCAGAGCGAGCTCAGCGAGGAGGCAGTTGCAGAGAACGTCTGGCCGAGCGGCAGCACAGTAAGTTCACCTGCACGGGCTTGTTTGAGCGGCTCGGGTGCAGCTCTGAGGTCAGATCAGTGGACGAGTTAGCGAGGACCAGCACCAGAACACCGAGCTTACAGAGAGGAAGTCGAACAAGAGACAGTTTCTTTGTTCTGTCGGCACGAAAAAGCTTCTCATTGAGTCTGCACATGTGGTTCAGGTTCCAGTGAGTCTTCGGTTCTTGTGTTTGGTGGCAGCAGCAGCAGCAGCAGCAGAACCATGGTCCGGTGAGTCGATCCGCTCGGTTCTTTGTGTTCGCTGCAACTTCTCTGTTTCCATTCCTCCTTCTTCTCTCCAGCTGTCGTCTGTCATGTGATCTGCGAAGCTGCTCCAAGTCTGAAAAATCACGTTAAAGTTCAGGATCATGACCCGTTTCTGCTCCACGTCCTCTGGTTCTGCAGCAGGTTCCTTCTGCTGCAAGCTGTCACTCGGTTCTGTCCGTCGCCGTCTTTCGTCATCAAAATATTATCAACAGTCTTTGTTATTGGAGCTTTTCTTAGAACCCAACAAAGTTCTTCGTCAGGCAGCAGCGACTTCTAAAACTGGTTCAGAGTTAAAGCTGTAAACTGAAGTTAACGGTCAGAACCTGAACTGGACTTTGTTTCTTCAGTATTGTGTCATTAAGCTTCATGTTGTAGTTTCAGAGCTCTCGCTGATGCACTGGTGTTAAACATGCAGGTATCGTTGACTGTACGTTCTTTATTTGTTCCATCTCCGTCTGCATTGTTTGAAAATCTGATTTATTTATTTTTGCTTATTTTTTCTTTATCCCTTTCTCTCTCTCTATCTATATATATTTATATACATATATATATGTATATAAATATATTTCTTGTGTGTTTTATTCTTTATTTTTATTCATCTTGATCTTGTGTCGGTGTGGACCAGGAACACAAAGCGGTTCACTGCGTGTTACATCGTGTATAACTGTGTGTGTGACCAGTAAAGGCCTTGAATCCTTGAATCCTTGAGAAGTTAGAAAGAATCTTCTGAACTACATGAGAAACAGGCTGATTGTCAGAACGTTGGCTGAACTCATACATAACTGTTGGTTGGGCGGCTGTTAGCTGGAGGCAGCGAAACACGAGCTACTGTGACGGACGTCTCCGTGAAAGTCACATCTGAGTTGGAACGGTCATTTTAAAATGTGTTTTCCACTGAAACAAACTCAGTGGAGGTGTTTGTTCTCTCTGACCTGCACAGCCTGACCTGCAGCTTTTATTAAAACCTTTAAAACACGTTTGAGCTTCATCAGTGAACTGCAGCTCCGTCAGATGTGACTCTGAGGTTTCAGTGACGTTTGGACGAAGAGCTTCTGTGGATTTTTAGTTCTAGTTGTGTTCAGTGAAATATCAGTGTTTGTGCTTTACTGCAGCAGACGGCCGGTGTTTATGGAATCGAATGTTAAAGTAGTCGACCAACTACGACGGCTGCAGAACAAATCATCCAGCTGCAGGGTGCTGACATGATGGCGGTTCATCCGTTAAATAAATGTGTTGTGCACTCAGAGTAGAAGGTTCTGCTCATCGTGTCGCTGTGTGTTGGGTCGTGTGTTTAGTCGTCTGTGTTTCTGCTGCAGGTGGTTCCACAGAGACATCAGCGGTCTGCAGGCCGAGGAGATCCTCAAGTCCAGAGGAACCAATGGCAGCTTTCTGGCTCGACCCAGCAAGAAGAACGTCGGAGACTTTTCTCTGTCCGTCAGGTAACACGTTCTCGTCTGGTTTTCATTCTCTGCTGCTGAACTCTTACAGCTTCTTCATTCACTTCCTAGTTTCTTCTGCAGACATTAGTGCGACTGTTTGGGACAAACGTGTGAAGCCTGCACAGGAATTTTCCGTTGCTCTTTGTGGCCTCGATAACATCAGTCATGTGTTGATTCTGCTCCCAGCAGCTCAGATTCACACTTTCATTTGGTTTCTGTTCACATTATGACAAAAATGTGATGATTTTACAAATAATGAAATATTTCAACCAGCAGAATAAAACAGATGAATGCGGTTTGTTCTGAGCCCGTCCCGGTCCAGAGTCTCTGCAGCAGCTCCAGGTCGCTTTAAGACCAACTGTTCTGTTGATTCTGTTGCTCTTTGAGCTGAAAACCTGAAGTGTGTGAATGTGTGAATCTGTATGGGTGTGATGAAGCTGCCGAGAGCTGAAACTGCTTTACACGTGTGGTTGGTTTCTGTGGATGCATGGGTCCGTTAGAGCACTTTTATTTTATCATCTGCATGCTTCACGGCAAAGATCAAAATCTGCAATCAATGAAAAGCTTTACAGTGTTTTTACTAACAGCTCCGTCTTAGTTCATGATGGTCTTCTGGGTTCTTTAAGGCAGATGTTCTCTGAGCTGTCGGGCTGCTGTTTCTTCTGCTGTAAGCAGATGTGCTGCTCGGTGAGGTGGTGTCGATAGATGCTGGCTGAACATCAGAAGTTAAATGTGTTGAGAGCAAACAGCAGACAACACAAGGTGGTGGAAACAGTGAAGGAACATCTCTGGTAGCTTCGCTGGTCCGGCTCACGGGGCTGACTGGCCGTTCTAGTGGTGGAAGAATCCTGAGAAGCCAGTTTCATTTCTAAAACTTTGGAGACTGTTCAGGAGGGAAAGTAAAATCAGTGACATAGAGAAGTGCTTCTACTCGTTCGTTGACTTCCTTCTGTATCTGCAGCCTTTAAACTTAAAACATGTGATGAAGAATTAGGGCTCAAAGCTAAATAAGCTGAACAACATCTTATTGATTTTGAAGTTTGTTTTTTCTAAAGCCACATATCATGCCGGTAAAGTTTCTCCTTTTTAATTCCGTTTAACGTGGAGTCATGGTTCCCTGATTTGACTTGTTTTGACAGGAATTTACAAAAACATGCCAAAGTTAGAACAGATTTCTGAAGGTAACGTCCATTAAGTAAAATATGTACAATAAGTGACTGCATCAGTATCCTCGTCCTTTAACTGGATCAGCTAACTGAACTGCAGCCAGGTGGTGCTAGAAGTCCCACAGTCAGTAAACGCATCATCTGAGGTCAGTGAATGAGTCTCAGTGATTGTAGCATAAAGACTCGTGTATCTGGAAGGTCCAGTCCCTGGTGGATCAGAACTCCTGGGTAGAACCATGAAGACTGAAGAACCCTCCAAGAACTCTGGGAAAGGTTGTTGAGAAGCATCAGTCAGGAGACGATAAAGATAAAGATAAAGATAAAGAGACTTTATTGTCATTGTGCAGAAGTACAACGAAACTTGTGTGGAAGAACACGACAATAGCAGCAGTGCAAATAAGAATAAAAATAAGAATACTATAAAAATAAGAATACTAGAAATAAAAATAATTTAAACAAAGTACTATATACACAAAGCATTATATACAATAAAGTGAAAATATAAGATAGTGCAAATAGTGGGAGATATCAGAACATCTCCAAGTTCCTGAACATCTCTGGAGTCCAGTTAAACCCATCATTAAGACATGGAAGGACTATGGACCATGAGTAGATCTGACTAGAGCAGAACGTCCTCAGAGACTGAGGGAAGGAGACTAGTGAGGGAGACCACCAAGACTCCTATGACTCCTCTTTTAGTAAATCTATCGAGTTCTTGTTAAAAAGCAAAGTTAAATTCATCATGATTCGGTGAAGGGCTGCAGGTGGATCAGTGGTTAGCACCGTGGCCTCACAGCTAGAAGGTCGCCGGTTGGCGTCCCGGTGAGGACACCCAGGATCTTCCTGCGTGGAGTCTCCATGTTCTCCCCGTGCAGCGTGGGTTCTCTCCGGGTTCTCCGGCTTCCTCCCACAGTCCAGAAACATNTAGAAGTCCCACAGTCAGTAAACGCATCATCTGAGGTCAGTGAATGAGTCTCAGTGATTGTAGCATAAAGACTCGTGTATCTGGAAGGTCCAGTCACTGGTGGATCAGAACTCCTGGTTAGAACTACCCCATGAAGACTGAAGAACCCTCCAAGAACTCTGGGAAAGGTTGTTGAGAAGCATCAGTCAGGAGACGATACCAGAACATCTCCAAGTTCCTGAACATCTCTGGAGTCCAGTTAAACCCATCATTACGACATGGAAGGACTATGGACCATGAGGAGATCTGACTAGAGCAGGACGTCCTCAGAGACTGAGGGAAGGAGACTAGTGAAGGAGACAAGTGAGGGAGACCACCAAGACTCCTACGACTCCTCTTTTAGTAAATCTATCGAGTTCTTGTTAAAAAGCAAAGTTAAATGGATGGATGGATGATTCGGTGTTGAAAAGCAGTAAAGGACTTTGTAGAAGCTGTTGCCAGCAGCAGAGAAGAGACAGATTCCCCCCCACACACATATATATATATCTATATCTATATCTATATATAACCCTAATCCATACACGTGTCTCCAGATGTATACAATACATACATGTCGTATTGTATAAGACCAGCTGTGACAGTGGCTGTTTTCTCTGCAGGGTCGGGGATCTCGTGACCCATATTCGCATCCAGAACACGGGTGATTTCTACGACCTGTATGGCGGGGAGAAGTTCGCCACGCTGTCGGAGCTGGTGGAGTACTACACGGCAGAGAACGGCATCCTGCAGGACAAAGACGGAACCGTCATCGAGCTCAAATACCCGCTGAACTGCTCGGACCCGACCACAGAGAGGTGCGTCTCTCTAAAGCCTCCCCCTGCAGGTCCATGTGGTCCGATCTCTGGTTCCTGCTCTCAGCTTCAGAGTGACACAGTTTGGTTAGTGGTTGAGTTAAATATAGAGTCAGTGAGCAGCTGTGTTTCCTCTGACGGCTGCAGCAGGATAATCTGATATTTCGTCTTCTCTTCTGGGGAAACACTTTCACTCTGTCGACACTTTTAGACCATTTCAGCATCTGTATGTCACAGAGTGAGTCAGGAGAGGGTCCGGTTTGCTGCTGCAGGCCGTCTGAAGTCTGAAAGGATGACGTGGTTTCTGCTGCTGGAGAAGATAACTCATAGACTGAAGCTTGTCTGTAGCTGCAGCGCTGCATTTCTAAGAGCATGTTTTGGTGTTTTAGCTGATCCAACACGGCAGCTCCGTGGTCTGGATGTTGACCCAGCTTCATCGTGGTTTCAGTCAGATCACAACTAATTGTTCTGACGGTGCCACAGAGTTCTGCTGTATGTGGAAACCTGTAGAAACTCAGATTTAATTGAGCACAAACGTTGATCCTTTTTAGAGGCAGACATCAGAAGCATCATCCTGAATATAACGCAACACAATATTTAATTATTCATTAACTTCATACGAGACTAAAGGACAAGATGATGCTGACGGTGACGCCAGGAGGAAAACGGACTTTCTGTAATGTTTTCTTCATATGAACCAGATTAAAGCATCACAGAAAGTCTCTGGTAGTTGTTCCAGTCAGAAGAAGAAGAATATCTGGCATTAGTTTAAACATTCAGCAGAACAGAGCTGCAGCGAGCAACCGACTATGAAACATTTTACTGATGGTGGATCAACGCTGAGCCACCGTCTCCCTTATTTCTGACCTTTTAGAGATGAACAGCTGATGGACTGGACCAGAGTCAGAGTCGGTCTGGAAGCTGAGATAATGTGCTCAGGATGTTTCTGATCCACCGTCAGTACCATCCAGAGCGTTTACAGAACCATGGACGGAGCATTTCTCTGTATGACACATTTACCACAAGATCAACTCTTCAAGTGTTCGCTTCATTTGGTGAAGCTGGACAATGAAAGCAGTGTGATGTTAGTGTTCAGCTCCAGTCCTGTACAGAACTTTGTGTGTGTGGGTTTTACTCGTGAATGCAGAGTCTCTCGGGTCTGGGCTCACTGATGAGGATCCAGTGGATCCAGATGTGAGCTGCTGCTGCTTCTTCTCACACTTTCTCTGTATTTGCATGAGCCTGTTTCTAAATGTAGTGAACAGAGAGTCCAGATGAGAGGTGCCGCCGGCGTCCTGCTGCTGTCAGGCTGATAACGTCTGGGTTCAGAACCATCACGGTTTGGTTGCTGCTGTCGTCGCTGGTCTCGGTTCTGTGCGCTGCAGCTGATGGCAGCAGCGCCGTGGAGCTGAGCGCTGCGCCTGTCGGTTGTCTAACTTCCCTTTTGTTGCTGCGGTTGGAAACTTTAAGTTTTGACACTTCTGAAAGCCTGGCCAGACCCTCCTGTCTTCCTCTATTGCACACTCCGTCTTGCTGTTGCTCATTCGCCACCTTCCTCATCTGAACGACTCTGAGGTCAGCGGATCAGCGGCTCGGTTCTGGTTCCGACCCTTCAAGTCACACAGGATCCATCTGAGGGAAACAGCTGAGTTCGTTCACTTTGACCTGCTGCAGAGCTGAAAGCGTCCTGAACTCTAAAACTCAGTGATTGGACCTGAAATAAATCAGTAAAGGTTGTGAGCAGAACCGGGCCAGCGTGCGGTGCAGCACCGTCGCTCGATGAGGGCGAGCTATAAATACTTTGTCCTCTTCAGCCACGAAATCTGTCATCAGAAATTTTCCGACCGCAGCGCAGGAAGTTTAGAAGAAGAAATCGAGAACTGTGACTAAATTAAGTCACAACTGTGAGCCGAGCTCTCGACACGCAGCTAGAAATAAGTGACCCGCTGGCCCGGTTACATCTGTACCTCGGTTTTAGCTCTTATCTCATGATTGTGTTCACTGTACTGAGTCCAGAGAACCACACCAGTGTTCTAACCGTCAGCCGTCATCGGGCCGCCAGCATCAGAACATTTCTCAGAAGAAGAACCAGAACTGTGGCGCTGCTGTGTGCTGAGCCCACACCCAGAACCACCTTCAGTCCGCTTCACGGAACATCTTCAGACTGTTGGTGTCAGTTTACAAATGTTCAGATTTTACAGCTTTGGTAAAATACAGAAAACAACTCATCACAGAAGATATTTAATGAATTAGTTTAATTTACTGTGAACGTCGTCCACATCAGAAACATTCTGTGTTCCTACGATCAGCTGTTCTTCACATCGGACCGCAGAACAACCTTATTTTTACTTTGATTAAATTACTATGAATTAGATTTGATTAATTTAATATTTGCTGTTATTTTAAAGGAAAAAAAGGATATTAAGAACTGAAAAATGTTTAAAAAATGAAGTGTTATTTTAACTATTTCTGTGGTTTGTTGAGTTACAAATAACATCTATTAAACCTGGAAACACAATAGTTCAGGTGCAGACCAGAGCAAACGGACCAGAACTGTAAATAATAAGAAAAACAATCATTTGTTCTGTGACTGTAGAACTAGTTTGTATTTAATCAGCTGAGGGCGTCACTGCTTTACACACACTTCCTGGTGTTTTCCTTCTTTTAATGGTTTCATATTTAGTGTCTAATTAACAGACATGAAACGTTCAACCACAGACGCTGAAGTCTAACGATGTGATTAGGCAGAAGAGTGGAAACAGCTGATCACACAGATGTGTATCTACCACATGTATGTCTGGTATATATGGTGGAAATATATGTCAATATATGTGTATAGAGAAAACACAGTGATAGTGAAGCGATGATGCACGCGGTCATGTGACGTAGTTTCTCCTCATGCATGTATCAGGCTGTGAGGACGTGTCAGGCTCGCTCGGCTTTTGTGTTGCTTTGATTTTGCCATGTTTTCTGTTTTCTTGCGTACGTGGTTCTGTTGGACTGCAGGAAGACGAGCTGTGGCTTTTTAAACTAAACTAATTCAGACCGGGTCCACAGAAGTCCAGACTGAAGATCATCTAACAACATGAGAACCAGAGTCAGAGACGCAGAGATTCAGGAAGAAGCTCGAGCAGCAGGAAGTGGGTCAGAACACACAGGAAGACAGAAGCAGGTTACAGAGTAAAGCACGGAGGAACTAGATCAGAGTGTAGAAGAAGAACATATCCAACACAGAGAGAGTTATTCAAGCTCCAGAACACGTAGAATAAAAGAACCAGAACCATAAAACCAGGAACAGAGGTGATGTTCTAACCAGCGCTCAGACCTGCTGACTCAGTGTGTCCTGTCCAGGTGGTACCACGGACACCTGTCCGGACCCAACGCCGAGAAGCTGCTGGCTGCACGGGACGAACCCGGAACCTTCCTGGTCCGAGAGTCTCTGTCCAAACCGGGAGACTTTGTTCTGTCGGTTCTGACCGACGAGACCAACAAAAGCGGAGGAAAGAGAGTCTCACACATCAAGATCATGTGTCAGGTGTGTGTGTGT